GCAGCGACCCAGCCGCTGCTCACCTGGGAGTAGATGCGCCACAGGCTCCGTTTGGGCAGCGACCCAGCCGCTGCTCACCTGGGAGTAGATGCGCCTGCTCTAAGGTGCCCCCAAAGCCCTGTTCCTCCGCAGGATTCTTGCTTAGATAGCAGACAAGTGTCTAGCCTCCAGACCAGTGTGCCACAGATCCAAGAAAATCGTGCCATTTCCCAAGCTTGAGTGACCAGTTAAAGGCAAGAAGAAGATAAATACTTAAAAGGGGAAAAAATAGTGCAAACAAATGGATGTATCCTAGTGAAACTCTCAGGGGAAACTACAAAGTAGGTAAATATTTTGGCCAAATATTTACTCTTACAATAAAAAAATCTTAAGCAAAAATTAAAACTTGATTGAAATTGAACTCTATTCCAATTAACTACGAAGAAAAATCACATGTATGTCTTAGAACCATTATTCACCATTATAAGCCAGTACTAAAAACAATACCTGCACTAGTACAGAGGCATCTTTGTCTTTCATTAGCTTCTCATAGACATGCTAAGATAACCGTATGTATGGTCATTTTCATATCATTTTAGATGCCCAAACCGGGGGTGAGAAGAACCAGGGACACCAGGGCAGACATGTCTGGAAAATTGCCTTCACCCACTGCAAGTCATCAACTAAGAGTACCAACATAGGGGCGACATATAATTTGGGCTCAAGCCATGTTTCAGAAGTGATTATAAGTAACGGAAACTATGCTGGAATGATGCCTGAGGCATTTAATATATGTAAGAAGATGCTTCTCTCTGGTGAGCCTGGTGAGATGCATACTGAGGAGAAACATGGGGGCCACAATATACCTGGGAAACCCCTCAGATCCCCTGAACATCATGTTCTTCATCACATGGTTCAAACTGTGCAGCAGCCTTTTGAGCTTACTGGACAAGGAAAAGCCCTCAATAAGAATGAACTATTATTTACACATAGAAGGACGCTAATAGGAGACACCACTTATAAGTATAATACATTTGGGAAAACCTATGATGAGTCAGCTCTCCTTACCCAAGAGGAAATGCATGTAGACGAAGCTCCTAGTAGCCGTAACAGATGGGGAAAAATCTCTTCTGGAAAATCAAAGTTGAGTCTTCATAGCACTCATTTTGAAGACCATGCATGTAATCTAATTGGGAATGATTTCAGCAAGAAATTGTGTTTCACTCAGTTTCAGAGATCTCAAGGAGGAGAGAAATCTTCTGAATATACTTTCTGTAAGATCATGAATCTCAATAAACAAAACAAACATATCAGTGACAAACTCTATGAATGTGAAGAATGTAGGAAAATTTTCTATCATAAGTCAGCCCTCAGTAGACATCATAGAACTCACACTAGAGTAAAACCCTATGAATGTAAAGAATGTAGGAAACCATTCTACTGGAAGTCAGCCCTCACTAGACATCAGATAATCCACACAGGTGAAAAGCCCTATGAATGTAAAGAGTGCAGTAAAACTTTCAACTGGAAGTCAGCCTTCACTGTACATCAGCAGACTCACAGAAGTGAGAAACCTTATGAATGTAAGGAATGTGGGAAAACTTTCTATCATAAGTCATCCTTCAATAGACATCAGAGAAATCACACAGGGGAGAAACCCTATGAGTGTAATGAATGTATGAAAACTTTCTGCTACATGTCAGAACTCACTGTACATCAGAGAATTCATACAGGTGAGAAGCCCTATGAGTGTAATGAGTGTAGGAAGATGTTCTCTCAGAAGGCAGAACTCACTGTTCATCAGAGAACGCACACAGGGGAGAAACCCTATGAATGTAAAGAATGTAGGAAAACTTTCTCTCAAAAGTCATCTCTCACGGTACATCAGAGAACTCACACAGGAGAGAGACCCTATGGATGTAAAGTATGTAGGAAAACTTTCTACCAGAAATCAAACCTCACTGCACATCAGCGAACGCACACAGGAGAGAAACCATATGGCTGCGAACAATGTTCTAAAACTTTCTACTCGAAGTCAGAACTAACTAAACACCAGAGAATTCACACAGGTGAGAGGCCCTATGAATGTAAAGAATGTAAGAAATCTTTCCATTGGAAGTCAGGCCTCACTGTACATGAGAAGACTCACACAGGAGAGAAGCCCTATGAATGTAAAGAGTGTAGGAAAACTTTCTACGTGCTCTCGTCCCTCAATATCCATCAGAGATCGCATACAGGCGAGAAACGCTACAAGTGTAAAGAATGTAGGAAAACGTTTGACTGGAAGTCAAGTCTCACTATACATCAGAGAACACACACAGGAGAGAAGCCTTATGAATGTAAAGAATGCAGGAAAGCTTTCTACCAGAAATCAACCCTCAGTAGGCATGAGAGAATTCACACAGGAGAGAAATCTTATGAATGTAAGGAATGTAGGAAAACTTTCTACCAGAAATCAGCCCTTAACAGGCATCAGAGAACTCACTGGAGAGAGAAACCCTATCAGTGTAAAGTAGGAAATCTCTCACGAGGGAGCCCTCACTTCACCTGAGCGAACTCCAAGGGCTGGGCCCTGTGTGGTCCTGTGTGCATTTTTTTGACTTTTGGGCAAACATCCTGCATTTCTCAACCTCCATTTATCAGGAGACTTTGTCCCTGATGTCCAGAAGGGATGAGCAGTCTACCAAGATTGACCATGTACCAAAAAAACCTTTTTTTCGTGTTCCTCCCCAATTTTTCTACCTCTGTGTCCCTAAGTGCAAATGAATGCCAAGGTTTATCTCATCACATGGAGAGGACAGCATGACTTAAGAGATTGAGAAGAGGGAGAGCACAGCCTTGTCACTTTACCTCAGAAACCTCCCTGTACTCTTCCTGAGTGACAAGTATTTACTCTCTTGTGCCCTTCCATGTGTTCTCTTTATAACAGTAACAGTCGCACGTGATCAGTTCACTTTATAAATTTCATACAGTCTTACGTATTGACCAACCCTCATGTTGAAACTTCAAACAGGATAGAACCTGTGTCGATACCCTTCATCCTCAGCCCATGGAGAGAAGGTCAGAGAGATAGTAGGAAGAACCAAAGAACACAAAATGGAGACTGCATTTGCAGTTTACTCATGGAACGCTCAGAATAACATCAAACCTCAGAAGTATCTCTAGTGGGTCAAAATAGTCAACAAAATTAACAAATTGACATACATCCAAGAATCCTCCCTTAAGCTTAGGTAATGTGGATGAAAATTTCAGACAGAAATGTTCAAAATCATGTCAAAAAAATTGCTAACTCTGAAGCCCAGTAGCGTGGCCCCTGGCATGGCCTTTCCTCCAGGGCATGTTTCACTGCGTGTGTCCTGGTGTGTCATTTTTTCAGTCTTGGAGCAGTGGAAGGGCACTGAAGATGGCCAGGGGCTGGGAGTAGATTCTGTCTCAGTGGCATGTGCGAGGACACGTTACCAAACTGTGTGAGGTGTGACACTGTTCCCACGTTTAGCAGCTGCAGAATGTCACAGCCACTCTGTCCAGAGTCGGCACAGCCTTCACATGCAGCTTTACCAAATAGCTCCGCAATCTTAACTTTCTGTATTTGTGTCAAAATCTGGGATCCTGTGGGTTTGTAGTGTCTCTGTGCATATCAGCCTGTGTGTGTACCTGGGAGAAGGGCAGGAGGCCCTGGGGTGTGTGGCACTCTCCTGGGGGTGGGGACGTGATGGCATGAGGCAGATGCCTGGGAAATCTCCATCAGTGTTCAGAATGACGCAGCTGGGAGTAAAATAACCCCAACTGGATTTCTGTCAAGGCACATGTGTTTTTAGGGTAAGGAGGGCCAACCTTGTGAGCTAAGTCATACACCAGGAAACACGATGGAATCCCTGGCGTCAAAGCAGAAAAAGCAGCGCATGTCCAGTCAGGTCTGCCCAAACCTTCAGAGTTGGTCTGGGACCTCCCTGGAGGTTTCAGGGTCCAGAGAACAGCTGTCTCCAAAGCAGGTGTCACATCCAGCGCTGAACTTCCAGCACTGAACTTCTGGGCCTGGCAGTCCCCTCTGGCACGTGAGCCGGGGGTGTCCTTTCTAGCAGATGCCCACTGGGGTGCTGTGAGCCCTGGTTTTCTGGCTCTGGCAGTCCAGCAATTGCTGAGCTACTTGAGTAACCTGAAAGTAGCTGTGGGCCTGAGCTTGACTAGCAGATCCCATTTGAGGTCCTGGGGTTGTGGGGGCAGAGCAGCAAAGTCGAGGCTGGCATCCAGCCGCCTCCTGCACAGTCACACCCTCAGCTAGGGTTGGCCACATCTCAGAGTTTCTGACTGTCCCAGGTTTTTCCAGATTCTGTTGTAGTTAGGTTGAAGTGATCGGGCCTGATGTGTGGATTCTTCATGAGAAGACAGGTTGATTGTTAAACGTCAGTGGCTCTTGTTGCTCCAGTATTAGCCTGCTGGCCAATGATGAGGGTCTTTGACTCAGTTCTCAGATTGGTTGTGACAGGAAAGCCTGCAGGGTCTTTGGGCCTTGGGGCTTGTGTTAGTCAGAATTGATGACGTGAAGCTTGAGTGTTTGCCACACAGGCTTCTGCAGCAGCTTACTTGCAAGTTTGGGGCTGCTTTGCAGTCCAGTGAGAGCACCCTGCCAGTACTGAGGAGATACACAGAGCAGGGCTCACTCTGAGCAGACCATAGCAATGGCCCTGGAACGCTCAGTTCCTTCTTGGGGAGACTTTCTAAAGGGCCTCATTTAATGGGTTGTCACAGACCTGGAGGTTATACTTCTCCCTTTCAATAGGAAGAAGATGGGCTCTCCCTGGTGGTGCAACGGGTTAAAGCACCTCGCTGCAAAGCTCTCAGAAGCCACTGCAGCACACTTCAATCCCCTGCCAAGGAGCTGACTCACACGTGGCATGGCAGAGCTCTCCTGACCCGCCCGCTGCTCCCTCAGCAGTGTGTTTCAGTACATCTGCCTGTTCTCTGGTGAGACATTCTGCCTCTGGTGAGTCCTCTCACCCACCACGCCTCTGGCCTGTACCCCAGTTCTGTAAGCATAAATAAATAAATGTTAAAATATGAAGAAGGTGAGGTAAAGACTAATTGGTGTCAGGTGTGTGTCAGCCAAGACGTGCTGAATTACGTGTGACTGTGGCCAGGGCCAGGTAGACCCATTAGGCATCGTTTGTGGAAGCGGAGTTCGCAAGGGAACTTTTTAGGTCGTGATGGCTTTCACTGAAAACTAGTTATCTGGGAAGGGCCAGGGAGACGAAAGCTCAACAGTGAGGCAGTGTATACTGAGACACAAAATGTGCACCAAGGATGGCAGAAACTGTGAGGTGACAGCAACTCCGGGTCACGGCCAGGGGTGCTTCAGGCTGCTTGCCCTTCCCCTGTGCAGCGCAGCGCTTCTGCCAAGCTGCCCCTGAGCACTTACCTGGCGCCTCTGCACCTTCCCTGTCCACACTGCACCGGCTCTTCCTGTCAGCTCTGCAGGTCTCACCGTCGCTTTGTAAACTGTCCTGATCCCCCCCACGTGGCTCTTCCGCAGCATGTTAGAGAGGCCTGGACCTCTGCATTTCTGTATCCAGCTTAGAGTGCGCTTGTGTATTCACAGAAACTTCTTATGTTGAAATTGCAGCGGATTCCTGTGCCATTGTGGGCAAAAATGGTCTGTTGTAGTAAAGAGTTTCTAATTCATGAACATTGTCTCCATTATTTAGCTCTTTCAGAATTTCTTTTTAATTGTTGGATTGTGTCTAAATACACCTCGAGCCCACTACCGCCCCACTCTGAGTCATCCCGCGCCGCTGAGTGTAAGGTTTGGTTGCCATCTCCCGTCCTCACAGTAGAGTTTCTTCTCTACTTTTATACACTTGACCAGCTGGGGTCCACGTAATATGATGTACAGTGTGTGCATTTCTCTGTTAGCTTGTTAACATCGTGTCAGCGTCATCCCGTTGCCCCGGGCGGAAGGGTGGCCATCAGTGTTGTAAAGCTACGTATACCTAGATACCTCAATTAGAATCTAGCCCATTCTTTCCCATCACCGGGGAAACAATAGTGAGATGCCACTTCATAGTTTGAAGTGACTAAACTATTAAAGGCCAGTCGGTAACACCAAGTCTTAGTGAGGATGGAGATGTTAGAATCACCCAAGGTACATCCAGTGAGAGTTAACAGTGGCTTTTACACGGAAGCTTGAAGGGGGCCTCCTGGGTAGCCTTGGGGCTAAGAGTCGGTACCATCACTGCTGCAGCCTGAGTTCAATCCCCAGCCAGGGAGTGACCCACAGGGCGCAGCAGACCTCTCCTGTGTTGCCTGCTACTTTCCTCAGCAGTGGGTGTCAGTGGACCTGCCTGTTCCGTTCCCCAGTCTGTCTCTGGCGAATCCTCTCCTGTCCCCACACCTCGGGCCTATACCCCAGTTCTTCAATGTGTAAATAAAAAAGTAAACGTGAGTATTTAGCTACTCTTTACAATAGAAGCTAAGAGTAAACAGCATTGAGAGCCAACACTGAGACAACCAGAAGCCAGTAAGGTCATCTCCTGAGGACAGGGTCTCAGCCCTGAGTCCCTCTGAGGACCAGGAGCAGCGTGTCAGCCCCTGGAGGTGAGCAGGCCAGACACAGTCTAGGGAAATAGTTCTTGGGTGACCTTTAGCTGAGAAGAGGCAACTTTAGCTACAGCTATACACACGGGCTGGGGTTCTTGGGTCCAACCACCCTCACAGCACAGGCCACTCTGATTCAGCTTATCACACTTATATCTTTTACAAAACTCACGGATGAGCTCTAGGGCAGTGTCAACCGAGGACACCTGGCCCTATGTGTGTGTGTGGGGGGGGGGTTGGGGATGGTGGGGGGTAGCTCTGGGTCTTCTCCCTCATTCACCCTGACTTTCTGACGGGAGCTCAAAGTCTGAGGCAGAAATCTGCAGGCACCTCACTGCCCACAGCTAACCTAGACCTGCCTCTTGCTATCCCAAGACCAGCTTCTGGGCTTTGGCCCTCATCATTGCCCTGTGGGAATGCCCTTTCTGGAAGAATTTCCTCTGACCACTCAACAGACCCCTTGACCTGTACCACCAGCTCCCATCAGGAGATGGCCCTTCTGGACAGCTTCCAGGTCAGTCCCCTTCTCCTGCTGGTTGGGGCCTTCAGCTGGGACTTTTGAGCATTTCAGCTTTTCTGGCACTAGGGGGTTGGGGGGGGTGGAAGGTGGTTGGGTATGGCTGGAGAGAATGTGGGTGTGGATACATTCATTGAGGAAAGTGGGCAAACAGTTGAGACAACTCTTCAAGAGCAGCTTGTTTGCATAAGGGTGGAAGTCCATTTACCGTAAATCAGGATCTCTAATCAGATTCAGGTCTCAAGAGACAGAGTTCAGCTCTGTCATCTCGGCAGCTAGCACCTCAGCAGTCACAAAAGGTACATGAAATGAATGGAGTCTCAGGTTTGTGTCTTGCCCTCCGAAGTCCTAGTCTTACTGCTACAGTTCTAGTCCACTAGACCCTTCCCTCGAGTCTTCACTCCACCCTCTCCCCATCTCTTCAGGGCGCTTCTGTCTTCTCACCCACAGAGCTCTGCTGGAGGATATTCCAAAATCAAATCTCCTTTATCAAGAAACACCTTATATTTATTTATTTATATAAATCTATGAATGCAGACAAGAGCTGGGGTGCAGAGAATTCACCAGAGACCGTGGGGAGCAGAGCAGGCAGATTAACTGACCCACTGCTGAGGGGAGCAGTGGGGAGCCTGGAGAGGTCTGCTGCACCAAGTGGGTCAGCTCCCCTGCGTATCTGATGGAACTGCCGCTGTGGCAGTGGATTTCTTCACAGAGCTGAGACTTAACCCCTGCGCTACCAGGGAGGCCACTTTTTTTTTTTTTAAGGATTTATTTAGTTGTTCATACAGAACTGGGGTACAGGCCAGAGGCTCAGGGGCGGTGAGAGGCTTCACCAGAAACAGAGTGGGGAGCAGAACAGGCAGACCGACGAAGTACACTGCTGAGGGGAGCAGCGGGGAGACAGGACAGGCCTGCCGCGCCATGTGGTCACCTCCAGGGCAGGCGGGAATCAAACTCATGCGGAAGCGGCTTTAGCTTCTCAGTGCAGTGCTTTAACCCGCTGGCCGGGAGGCCACTTTTTTAAAAGAATTTTTAAATATTTATGCAAGAACTGGAGTGTAGACCAGAGGTGTTATCAGAGAGGCCAAGAGGATAAGACTGAAGAGGGCTTTCTTGATGCTCAGTGAGCTGAGGACTGCAAGTCAAGAGACAGTCCCAAAATGGGCACAGGGGTCTTTATAGGGTTAGACTACCTCTGGAATTCTTGCCTGGAGGAAGGTATGCTGGAGTTGTTTACCCTTGTCAGCTTTATCTGTGTGACTCAGCTTATCTCTGGTGCCTAGTGCTGGTTTTATGAAGGACCTGTGCGTTCTAGAGGGGAGGATTCACTAGAGAGAGTGGGGAGCAGAGCAGATCGACCCACTGAACTCCGCTGCTGAGGGGAGCAGCTGGGAGACTGGAGAGGTCCGCTGTGCCCTTTGGGTCACCCCCTGGCCTGGGACCAAAGTGGTGCTGCAGTGGCTGGTAACAGCTTGACAGCACAGAGACTTTAACTCTCGCACCTCCAGGAGGCCCTCATCAAGAAACATTTAGCAACTTTGCCACTTGGCCTGTGATAAGAACTCACTTTTCCCCAGAGCACCATTTCCCGAGGCCACGCTTTACCGTGGGGGGTTGTACTAATTCGCCAGTTAGGATCTGCCCTTGGGCTCCCCCCAGAAGGGGTAGTCTCTTACAGCCGGGAGGGGGTGGTTCCCAGGGGCCCTATTCAATCCTTATTCCCACGCGGACAGCTGGGGTGAGGCCGCGCTCTGGACCGGGCTCCAGGGCCGCAGTGCACTGAGCGGTCAGCGTCCCTGCACTCCCCACCGCAGAGCCAGACCCCAAAGTGCACAAGGGAGGGAGGAGTCTGGCGCCTTCCCCGCCTCTGGCAACAAAGAGCATTCCGGCCAGCACCGCTCTCTTCTTCCATTCCCCAGGGACCCGCCCACCTGCCCCCCCTCTCCCCCAACAAGTCGGGTTTCTGGACAACAAAGCTCGTCTCCCGGACTAAACCGGGCGTTCCGCTGGCTCCGGGCAGGCGGCGCAGAGGCTTATGGGAAATGTAGTCCGCGCAGCGGGCGGTTGCCGCAAGGGGTTCTGGGAAGGCCTCTTCGGGGTTCCTTCTGCGCAGGTGCAGCCTGCTCCTCCACACTGTTCCGCCACCCTCCGTGCTGCACAGTCGCCGCGGCCGCCGCTCCGCCTCCGTGTGATCTGTGTCCTGAAGGTGAGTGGGGTGGGTGGGAGGGAGTGGCCCTGGGTGCTTAGAAACGGGGGTGAGGGAGCGGGAAGGTGGGTGAGGGACCAGACTGCCGGCGAGGGGGTGAAGTGGGAGCCCGGATGCTCGGCCCGGTGGGGGAGGGGGCGGAAGTCCCTCTAAGTAATGGATGCGGGGTCCCAAGTGCCGTCCCGAGGGTGAAAGGGGAGCCCGAACAATTAGGGGCAAAGGGCGGGTGTGCGAGGAAGCCGAGTGGGTGTTGGGGTGCTGGCCCTGAGTGCGGGTGTGAGCCCTGGACACAGCGGGTGGGGAGATGGTTGGAATGTCGAGGCCACGGAGCTGGGCAGGGGAAGGACCCGATCCTGCATTGCTTTCGCTGGTGCTTCCTCAGATGGGCGTTACGAGACCGGAGTGTGCTTTCAGAAGCTTCTAGAGCCGGGTGATGGAGACTGTGAGTCCTATACTGAGAACCCCAGAAGGCAAGGGAAGCCAGGCTGGCGCGGTGGTGAGCAGATGGGGCGAGCTGGAGGCCGGTGTCTGCCTCTGAGCGCTCTTCTGCCAGGAACAGTTGGGCGTCTGTGAGCTAGCCTGTGAGATACACCAGGAATTGTCGGGAAGTGGTAGGAGCCTGCTCTTACTGGTATTTGTGGGCTTTCTTGGAGTCTCAATTGCAGACCCCTTTCGCTGTGTAAGTGCCTTTACTCCAAAACCATTTATCCGAATTTATTCAGAACTTAGTGCCCTTGACCTTGAGTTCTAGAAGGTTTCTTAGGCTCTTGATGATGGTTAGTTTTTTTTTTAATAAGTAAAAAATATTTGTCTTTTTAAAAATGATTTATTATTTTATGCATTCAAGAACTGGGGTCTAGGCCAGAGGTGCTGGGTGAGCTGATTCACCAGGGACAGGGTGGGGAGCAGAACAGGCAGATCCACTGAAATCCACTGCTGAGGGGAGCAGCGGGGAGACTGGAGAGGTCTGCTGTGCTATGTGGGTCAGCTCCCTGGCCAGAGATCTAGCTCCTGCTGCAGTGGCTGGTGATAGCGTGACAGCGCTGAGACTTAACCCCTGTGCCACCAGGGAGGCCTAATTTTTTTGTTTTCTTATGACTAGTTTATTTCATTTGGTTTAGTGATTCATCCATGTCTTAGCAAGTGGCAGAGGTGTTTCCTTCTTAAGACCCTATAATACCCGGTTACAAACCCATAGCACAGGCATGCGTGAGCGAGTGGCCGTGGGCCTGAGTCCTTTCTGCACGTGGCTCTAATGAAAACTGTTGCTGGGAGTTTGTGTGCATATTAGGGTTTATCTTAATCTGCTCAGACGTTGCATAAACACCTTTCTGAGCTCACAGTTCACTTCGGGGTGTCTGTAAAGAAATGTGCTTGTGAGCTCACACTGTACTGTTTAGTTTTCTCCCATCAACACTTTGCCTCTTTTTTAGCTGCATCACGTCGTGTCCCCATTAACAGTGCACAGATCCCCCAGTGGCTCCGCATCCTTGCCAGATGTGTTCTGCTGGGACTGTTTTTAAGTAATGGTCAACCTCATTGTGCCGTTTTAAAAAATGTGCTTGTGGGCCATTCTGTAGAGAGTTTTATTAAAAGCCCTTCTGATTTTAAAACCTAGAACTCATTTTGGGCCGCTCTGGTGGTGCAGGGGTTAAAGTCTTAGCTCTGTCCGTCTGCTGCCAGCCCCTGCCAGCCACTGCGGCAAGAGCTAGCTCTGCTGCCAGGAGCCAGGAGCTCACCCACATGGCGCTGGCGCGGCAGCCCTCTCCTTCCTCCCTGCTGCTTCCCCCAGTGGGTCCGCCTGTTCTGCTCCCCACTGTCTCTGGTGTCCGCTCAGCCCTGCATTGCACTTCTGGCCTACATCCCAGTTCTTGTATGAATAAATAAATGAAAGTAAATCTTTAAAAACATTTTTTAAATAAATAGAACTTATCTTTATAGCACTCTTACATCACAATGCAATTGAGCAGAAGTACAATGAGTTCTGGTAGAATATTGCCACCAAGTGTTGGCAAAGATTTGTTGTTGTTGTTTTTTTTAAAGATTTATTTTTACTTATTTATGCATACAAGAACTGGGATCTAGGCCAGAAGAGCGGGGATTGAGAGGATTCATCAGAGACAGAGTGCGGAGCGGAACAGACAGATCTGTTGAAAGACACTGACTGCTGGTCCCTCCCTGGTGGCTCAGTGGGTTAAAGTGCAGCACTGTGAAGCTGGCTTCAGTCACTTCAGCATGGGTTCAATCCCTGAGCAGGGGGTGACCCACATAGCATAGCAGACCTCTCCTGCCTTCCCGCTTCTCCCCTCAGCAGTATTCTTCATCCATCTGCCTGTTCTGCTCCCCACTCTGTCTCTGGTGAGTCCTCTCACCCCTGCACCTCTGGCCTGTTTCCCAGTTCTGTGTGCATATATAAATAAATCTTTAAAAAAAAAAAAAAGATACTGACTGCTGAGGGAGCAGCGGGGAGACAGGAGAGGTCTGCTGTGCCGTATGTGGGTCAGCTCCCTGGCCGGGATCAAACTCATGCTGCAGTGGCTGGCGCAGTGGCTGAAGGTAGCATGATGGTGCAGAGACTTAACCCCTTGTGCAACCAGGGAGGCCCAGGCCCATTTGGTGCGTTTTAGGGGTTGTGGAATCTGAGCTCCCTCTTCCCTGTAGTCATCATTTTCAGTAGTGCTTTATATCAACCGCTGAGATGATACCACTTAGTTTTCATGCTTTATCTGTATGTCCAGGCCCTCCCTGGTGGCGCAGGGGTTAGGTCTCAGCACTAGGAAGCTGTCTGCAGCCTCTGCCAGCCTCTGCAGCCGAGTTCCATCCCCAGCCAGGGGGTGACCCGCTGGGCGCAGCAGACCTCTCCTGTCGCCCTGCTGCTCCCCTCAGCAGTGGATTCCAGTGGGTCCATCTACCCCCTACTCTGTCTCTGGTGAATGCTGTCACCCCGTGCCACACCTCTGGCCTGCACTGCAGCTCTTGTATGCATAAATAAAGGAAATAAATAACTTTTTAAATAAATAAGTTCCTCCCTGGTGGTGCAGTGGGTTAAAGTGAAGCACAGTGAAGCTGGCTGCAGCCACTGCAGCATGTGTTTGATCCCCAGCGGGGGAGTGACCCACAGGGCGCGGCAGACCTCTCCTGTCTTGCCCACTGCTCCCCTCAGCAGTGTTTCCCCTGCCAGTTCTGCTCCCCACTCTGTCTCTGGCGACTCCTCTCACCACCAGGCACCTCTGGCCTGCACCCCAGTTCTGTCCGCACAAATAAATCTTTAAAAGAATAAATAAGTAAAACTATAAGTCCATGAGCTAAACCCGATTGACTTACGGAGCGTCACGTTACTTAACGGCGGTACGAGTAAGCCACGATGATCGTGAGCTGCCCGGCCAGCTGGCGGCTCCCTTGGCCCCCACGCACCAGCCCTCAGCCTCCGAGCCCAGCAGTTGTGTGTGACCTTTGCTGTGGTAATTCTGTCCGCTCACTTACAGCCAGCTCGGCAGCAAAGCTTTTCAGGGCATTTCTTTTATCTTGCAGCTGCATGTTGCACAGAATTTTCCTTTCTGTCATTTTGTGGAGTGGGCACAACTCGAAATAGATGTCCAGGTCGTTGTCACGCGAGTCTGGCTCTCCAGGTGTGAAGATGCTGGCGGTGCAGGATGTCGGCGTGTGCTTGTCAGCTCCTGCCATGTGTTGACTGACTGCACAGGGCCGCACTCACTGGGGGGTGCCTCCTTGGCCCCTCCACGTGCCGCTGCCTTCCTCGTGTGACTGACGCGTCCACTGGACTGTCGGTGGAGCGTCGCCTGGCGTGGCCATGTGGCGCTCCAGCGGGAAGGTATTTTTATGGGATTCTTCCCCGTGCCTTCGCACAAGGTCAGAGGATTTCCTCCGCAGAAGTAGGATGTGCTGAGCTCTGGCCATGGAGTTGAGAGGTGAGGTGCCCTGATTCACAGCTCAGTCTTGCAGAGGTTGACTTCCCACCGTGGTGGCTGTTTCCCCTGAACAAGAGCGTCCGTGCTCCTGTCAGTCTCATTTTCTCTTCCAGTCACTGTCCACTTCAGGACTTTGGTCGTCTCCGATCCACCCCCTGCTCTTCTTACATGCTTCTCTGCTGCACAGACGCGCCACTCATCTCCAGGCCGCACGCCCTGTTGCTGGTAGGTTGTCCTCACATAGCTGCGGGACTCCAGACTTGGGGGTGCGAGATGGGCCTCGCTCCGGCGCGCTGCTCCTGTCCCTCTCCCCTGCTTACCCTGCAGCGTCCGACTCTGCCTCAGGGGTCACACGCACCTCCCCCCGGCCCCCCAAGGTGCCCCATCTGTTCCTCTTCTGTAACCCTCTTTCAGCATCTGCGCCTCTGGTGACCTGGTCAACTCAGAGCGCCTGCATCGTCCCCCCTGCCCCCCTGCGCCCCTTGCCCGTCTGCTGTGGGATTGACTGCAGATCCAGTCAGGTAGTTTGCTTTTTTATCGGACCCTTGTTATTTACAGGTCTTGTGTCGGTAAATGGCTGTGTTCACTGCGGGGAAAGCGAGCCCCCTTTCAGGGGAGGGGATGGTATACTGGGTTCCCTGGGGATGCTAACTTCCAGCTCGCCTACAACCTGGCAGTCACTTCCGGCTCCCTGTTGCCTGGACTGGGCTGCGTGGGTCACTGCCAGGTGACCCAGCCATTCTTGGGATGCCTTGACTTTGTCTCTCCTCGCAGCCGGGAGCCCCCACCTGGACAGGTACCTGTCAGCTGCATTCTCCTGCCAGCTGCCCTTTATGTCACCTCTTCAGTTCTGCTGTTGCCACCTTTCATGAGAACGCGGGGAGCTGATGGCTTGCGTCTTCAGTGACTCCCCCTCATAAATGTGCTGTTTTCTCCATTTGCACCTGAGTCTGCCTTGGCTGTATGTTTTTGGCAAGTCCTTTAGCACGTGAGGGCAGCTATTTGTTTATGCTTCTGCATGGGATTCTGAGGGCCTCACATTACAGCAATGCCTTAATCCTTTTATTCTTACACACCAGGACATCGTTTGTCCTTTAGTAAGAAAACACTAGTGCTCTCAGTGTAAGGAGCCACTGTAGACTGCAGGGGGTTTCCACTGTGGTAGCTAACTCTCAGCATGGAATCGATGCGTCCTGTTTATTAAAACACCCAAGGATTCAACTACCAACCATCCAGCTTTTCAGAATGAGCGTGTTACCTGAGATGGTGCCATTTGAGGAGGGGCTGCTGCAGGGGATGGTGACCTTTGAGGACGTGGCCGTGAGCTTCACCTGGGAGGAGTGGCAGTTCCTGGACGACGCTCAGAGGACCCTCTACCGAGAAGTGATGCTGGAGACCTACGGGAGCCTGGCATCCCTGGGTGAGCCAGCCTCCCGTCACCGCCAGCGGCGGGCACTGTTTCCTTCGATGGGGGATGCACAGCCGTGTGTATAAATGCGGTTAAGCTTTGACCCCAGGCCAGGAACAGTGTCACTGGTCACCTCTCTGAGAAATGGTTCGGGTTGGCCCTCCATACGCAGAATTTAAGCCCAGCTGGTGTCAGTTGTCAGAGACTGAGTCTTAAGCAGTTATTTCTCAACCACAGGGTGTTGCGTGAACAGACCTGAAGTAATGGTCAAGCTAGAGGAAGGGCCAGAGTCGTGGACTGTGGAAGCGCCCCCAGATGAGAGCCTCTCAGGTCAGTTGGGGCATCCTGGGCGGGGAGGCCGGGAGTGGGGGAGGGGGACACAAAACAGCTGTTGGCCACACTGAGCTGTTTCTCCAGTGGCCTCCCCAGGTCCACGTCCTAGGCCTGGGTCTGCACGAAGACACAAACTCATTATTCAGTGTTCACACTGGGCTGGCACACAGGAGCACCTCCTTTTTTTTTTCTTTCTTTCAAGTTTTCTCTTGTTTATGCACACAAGAGCTGGGTGTAGGCCAGAGGTGCAGGGTGTGGGGGAATGAGAGGACTCCCCAGAGACACAGTGGGGCGCAGAACAGGCAGTCACTGAAATCCACTGCTGAGGGAGCAGCGCACCCTGTGGGTCACTCCCTGGCCAGGGTGTTGCAGTGGCTGCTGGTACTTCACAGTGCTGCGACAACCCCGTGTACCCGGGGTGGCCCTTCCTTTGCTTTTAATGGCTTTACATTTTCATGGACTGACGCAGCATCTGGTCCTTTTATCGTGCCCTGGAACATTGCCTTGGCCTGTCGTGGGGTTCCGAGGCACCCCGTGCCTCCATGTTCATGGGCTGTGTCGTCAGGCCTCCCTTCACACAATTGCTTGTTCTTTCAGAGTTCATTGGAACTTTTACAAGCTGGTGGTGTATTTTTGGGAGGGGAGGAATAAAAGTAGTAATCAAAGAAATGCCTTTTAAAGGGTCCTCTCTGGTTTTTGTAGCTTACTCTCTTTTGAGGGAGGAAAATAACAGAAATATAAAAGTTAAATACTAAGATAAGGCACAGACAGTGTTTAACGAGGAGGAGAGAAAAAGGAGGGGCTTCTTTGAGACTGTTGACTGGGCGGCACCGCAGACCTGAGTGTGTGCATTGTAGGGCAGAAGTTTCCACTTGGAGGTGTAAAGTTCAGCAGGCACAGCCTGGAGTGGGGGCAGAGCGGGGAACTAGGAAGCCGGGAGTGAGCACCAGTCGAACGGGGAGGTTGCCAGGAAAAGTGCTGAAGAGTAGGAGCGAAGCGACACGAGACAAGCTCGCGTTCCACAACGTTCAGAGCTGGGCGCTGAGGATGCGCCCACAGAGTCCTGCGAGGAAAGGGGGTGTCTGCAGGGGAGGAGAGGCTGAGGCTGTGCTTCCAGCCCCCGTGGAGCCGGAAGTTGTTTGTTTTTAAATAGGATTTGCGCATTGTGCATGCAAGGGCTAGGAGCAGAGTGCAGGGGGGTGAGAGGCCCCCCAGAGACAGAGCGGGGAGCAGAGGGGCTGCGAGACAGAGAGGTCTGCTGGGCCCTGGGGTCCCGCCCTGGCCGGGGCGTGAATTCGCGCCGCAGCGCTATCTGAAGATCTGTCTTCAACCCAGCAGCGAGCCCTGTGTTATTGTGTTGCTTTTTTCTTAAAGGTTTATTCGTTTATGCACACAGAGCTGGGGTACAGGCCAGGGGTGTCGGGGAGGGGGTGAGAAGAGTCACTGGAGACAGGAGCAGAACAGGCAGATGGACTGAAGTCCACTGCTGAGGGGAGCAGCGGGCAGGTCAGGAGGGGTCTGCCGCGCCATGTGGGTCACTCCCTGGCCGGGGATGGACCTTGTGCTGCGGCGGCTGAGGTAGCTTCGCAGTGCTGTGCGCTAACCCACTGTGCCACCAGGGAGGGGCCCTGGAGGCGCTTTCTTTTTTAAATATATTTTTAAACTTTAGATATTTTTTATTTGTGCTTACAGAAATTGGGGTCTAGGCCGGATGTGCGGGAAATGAGGGTTCATCAGAGACAAAGAGGGGAGCAGAATAGGCTGCTTGACTGAAAGACACTAAGGAGGGGCGCAGCGGGGAGATGGGAGAGGCCGCTGTGCCCCGTGGTCAGCCCCTGGCCGGGGATCAGACTCATGCTGCAGTGGCTGCAGTAGCTGCAGTAGCTTCATGGCGCTGCACCTTAACGCCAGGACCCCCAGCGAGGCCCGCCCGGCTTATTCAGATTTTGACAGTACAGAATTCTCCTGTCAGGCCTGGGGCGAAACTGTCCCACCACTAAGGCACCCAGAGTGCTCTGCCATAGTCCAGTGTGTGCCCCCGCCTCTTGGTCCTTCCTCCTCCCTCTGCCTTTTCTCCCCCTCTTGGATGCTCACGTCTGTCGTCAGCTTTCCAGGTTGGATTTGAATGTGTCTCTGGTTTCTCTTTATTCTGTTTACAAGCCCCACTGTCTGGTATTTGTCTTTCTTCTGGCTTGTTTTGTGTGCATAATCCCTTCCACCTCCATGCATGTTGCTGCAGATGGCCAGAGTTTATCTTTTATTGCTCGCTGTGTAGTATTCCAGTGAGTATCTTGCACATACCACATCTTGATCCACTCATGAGCCAAGGCTTTATTTTTTATTATTTATTTACTGAAGGTTATGTTGGAAAGGTTTAGGAGCTCCCTGGTGGCGCAGGGGTTAAGTCTCACTGCTCTCAAGCTTTCAGCAGCCACCGCCACATGAGTTCCATCCACAGCCAGGGAGTGACCCCAAGGTGCAGCAGACTCCTCCTGTCTCGCTCGCTGCTCCCCACTCTGTCTCTGGTGAATACTTCACCCCACACCTCTGGCCCACACCCCAATTCTCGTATGCATAAATAAATGTCAATCTTTTTAAAGTAAATTAAAAAAAGGGTAGGTTTATTAGCAAAAGGAGTAAAAAAAATAAAGGCATCTTGTAGGCACAGGGGCAGGAGAGCTGCCATGAGCCAAGGCTCTAGGTCGTGGGTCTCAGTCACCGTTTTTCGCGTTGATCATTTTTATTTATTTATTTTTGGTGATTTATATTAAGATTTATGTATTTATTCATTCATGCATTTATGCATGCACACAAGAACTAGGGTACAGGCCAGAGGTGCGGGTGGCGAGAGGGCTCCCCAGAGACAGGTGGGGTGCAGCAGGACAGTTAGACTGACTGAAGTACACTGCTGAGGGGAGCAGTGAGGAGACAGGAGAGGCCTGCTGCGCCCTGGGGGTCACTCCCTGGCTGGTGTCTTCATTGTGCAGGTAGCTTCATAGTGCTCTTCAATACCTGTGCCACCAAGAAGGCCCCCGTTAATCACTTTTTAAAACAGACATGGGCCTGCGCTTTCTTTGGAACTGTGGCAGACAGCTGAAGTCTAAAACAAAGTGAAATCTTATCAAGTGGGCCACTTTTTCAACGTATAAAAATACAGGGCCGGATCGGAGGGGGGGCAGGGAAGGCGGCTCAGTGATGGTGGGCACTGTGTTGTGAGTGCCCTTCAGGCGAGGAGGCAAGCCCTGGACGTAGTGGCCCTCCTCTGCTTCTTTTACCTGTTCCGATTTCAGAAGCTGGTGTGGTGGTGTTTTATCAGGAGTTTGCAGAAAACTTCCAGTCTAGGGTGGGAAGAAGGGACTGTGCCTTTGAAAAAATCCACACTAGCCTTTGCACAATCCCCATGAAAAATAAAAACGAAATAAATGTACAAGGAAAAGTCCTACCCAGTCATTCCAACTCTGATGCCCTCTCGCACATCCAGTAGATGACTGTTCGAGAAAACTTGCCATCCTCATGGCTTCATTGGACCTACAAGGACCACAGTTATTATTAGATGTGGTTATGGTTATTGTTCAATGCAGAGAGAAGAAATGGCTTCAGAGATGACCCACGAAATGTTTAGAACTGAGCACCTCCCTGGTGGCTCAGGGGTTCAAGCGCAGCACTATGAAACTGTCTGCAGCTGCTGCAGCATGAGTTCGATCCTTGGCCAGGGAGGTGACCCACAGGGCACACCAGACCTCTCCTGTCTCCCTGCTGCTCCCTCAGCAGTGGATTTCAGTAGATCAGCCTGTTCTGATGAAATAAAAACAAATACAAATCTAGATTTTTTTGGGGGGGTGGCTTTCATTTCATTTGATTTGACATTAGAAATTTGTTAGTGAAATTCACAACACTTTATTTGGGAAAGGTGCTTATATGCCTATGCATTTATTCATATTTTATGTAAATATGGTATGACCGGTATAATAAAATGAGACTTCTGTGTATTGGCATCACACAAGAAATGGATAGGTGTTGTTGGTACATTTTGTTATTTTCATCCAGTTACAGGCATCCAACGTGTGAGTGACCTTACTGACATCCACCAGGAAAACGATGGCCGGCATTTGTGGAACGTTTTCAACACTACTAGCAAAGACTCTACTGAAGAGAAATCTGACGTAAGAGAAACACACGGTTTCAGTCCAAGCCATATTATGAAAGTGGTTATACAAGATGGACAGGATCCAGGCGTGATCACTGAGAACTTTGATCTGTTTAAGGACATATTCGTCCCCGTACAGCCTGAGGAGGATCATGATGGAGCGAACCCAGAGAGGGCTGTGCCGACAACTGAGGCATTCCAAGGAGAGCCTGAGCAGCCTAGTTTTCATCAGAAGATTCTGACTTTGCAGCAGCCCTCGGCGTTTGATAGAGAAGACAAAACCTTCTGTAAGGAAGAAGTGATGTTTACACATGGGAGGGCTCTTATTGGAGAGACTGCCTGTGAATATAATGAGTACGGGGAGGCCTGTGACACCTCAGCGCTCTTTGCCGAAGATCTGAATCACATGGGTCAGACTCACTACGGATGTAACAACTGGGGGCAAATCTGTTTTGAAGATCCAGCACAGCTGATTCTTCAGACAGATTCTGAGTATGAGCGCCACAAATGGAATCAAAGCGGCGATGATTTCAGCAAGTTACTACATCTCACTGAACATCAGAGAAGTCAGCTAAGGGAGAAAATTGAAGAAAATATATGTGGTAAGACTTGCTTTAACTTCTCTGTTATGGCTGAGCATCAGAACATAGAACCAGGTGAGAAATCCTATGAATGTTGGCAAACCTGTGGGAATCCAACCCTGAGCAGCCAGGGAATTCTCAAGCCAGCAAAGCGTTATGAGTGTAAAGACTGTGAAAAAGTTTACAAGTGGAAGTCAACCCTCACTAGACATCAGAGAACTCACACAGGAGAGAGACCCTATGAATGTAAAGAGTGTCACAAATCTTACTACCTTAGAGCAGACCTCAACGTACACCAGAGAAGTCACACTAAAGAAAAACCCTATCAGTGTAATGAATGTGGGAAAAAATTCACATATAAGTCATATCTAAAGATACATCAGAAATCTCACACAGAAGAGAAACCCTATGAATGTGAAGAATGTGGGAAAATTTTCTACCGGAAGTCAGGACTCATTAATCATCAAAGAATTCACACAGGAGAGAAACGCTATGAATGTAAAGAGTGTAAAAAAATGTTCTACTGGAAATCACAACTCGATATGCATCAGAGCCTGCACACAGTGCAAAAACCCTACGAATGTAAAGAATGTAACAAATCATTCTGCCTGAAGTCATCATACACTCTACATCAGAGAATTCACACGGGACATAGGCCCTACGAATGTCAAGAATGTAGTAGAACTTTCTGCTATAAATCAAATCTCACAGTGCATCAGAGGGCTCACACAGGAGAGAGACCCTATGAATGTAGGGAATGTAGCAAGACTTTCTATCAGATGTCCCAGCTCAGTAGACATCAGGCAATTCACACGGGAGAGAAACGCTATGAATGTGAAGAGTGTGGGAAAACTTTCTACTGGATGTTTGAACTGAACTACCATAAGAGAATTCACACGGGAGAGAAACCCTATGAATGTGAAGAGTGTAGGAAAACTTTCTACCATCGGTCAGACCTCACTGTACATCACAGAATTCATACAGGAGAGAGACCTTTTGAATGTAAAGAGTGTGGGAACACCTTTTGCCAGAAGTCACACCTTACTAGACATCATAGAATTCACAAGCGACTTAAACCCTAGGAATGTAAAGATGTTGAAAATACGTCGACCAGAAATCGCACCTCACTGAACATTTTGAGACCTCACTCAGGGCTTAATCCTGTGTGAGAGACAGCATATCCACAAAACAGGTTCTTTTTTGTTGAAACGAGCATGCAATTCTGTGCTCCCTTTACCATGTTGGGTTTCTGTAACTTAACTATGGCTGTACAAACAAACAGTACTGTCCGAGCCAGGTCACAAAGAAAACTCCATTCTCATATTTTTCAGACCTCGTTTTCCTGCACGGCACTCCTGGTTTTCCTAGGAACCCAGGGTGAACATCCAGTGGTTTCAGAAAGGAGCAGTGTACTGGGAAGAGCAGAGTCTTCCCACTTGACTCAGCAGTCTCCGTGGGTGCTTCCCTGGGTGAAAACCTATTTTCTTCCAGGGGTCTTCCATGTGATGTCCTTGAGCATCATGTTTCAGGAAGCTCTGGACTGGGACATGCTGCGAGCACTCACTTACACTTCAATGTAAATTCCCAGAGCAGAGTGCTGTGGCGTCTTCTCAAGCGTATGGAAACTCCAAAGGAGGCGAAGACTAGTTGACATAGTGCATCACCTTTCAGCTGCAATTTGGGTGTGGAGCAGCCTGAGCAGGCTGCTCTAGAGAAGCTCAAGATTCCCTGTGTGTTTCCTTAAGCGAGTCCAAAGGAGCAAGCCTAATTCCCCATGGACTGGCCTGTGAGTTTCCAGTGTCCGTGGCTTTAGCCAAGAAAACAGGTCTGAAAATTCCAGGTTTGTAAGATCTTGGTAGAGTTTTCAAGAAAATTGTGTATGTTTTGAAAATAATATACCCCTAGGCTGAGGTGGTAGGTTTCGTTGTTCGCAGGAACATGGGCTTAATAGTGTAGTGAAGTCCATGGAAAGTTCCAGTGCTTTATGTATAGCTGGTAAATGGCGGTTGTGTCCCAGAGGTAACTCCTGGTTGGAGCTCCTCAGGAAGCGCCTGGAGGGAAAGTGGGGGAGGCTGCTCAGATTGTGTTCTTTCCCCAGGGATTTGAGGCAGTGCCTTCTAGAGGCCACAGCCCCCCAGAACTAGGTCTCTGCTGATCCTGGGGTTGGCACCGACAGCTGTGAGTCCTGCCGACCCCAGGCTAGGGCACAGCTGTGGCCTGTTGTGCTTAGAGCGGGTTGGAGATCCACTGCCCGCTCCAGGTGGCAGGCCCAGGGACCCCCCAGGACCCCTGGTGCAGCGCCCGCCCAGGGTTGCCAGCAGCTTTGCGTCGCCCGAGGCGCTCTGCGGGTGGAGGGTCCAGAGCAAGGCCGGCTTGGGTGCAGGGGCGTCATCCGGTGGCGAGCCTTGCCATGTAAGTGCCCGCCGACGTCTGGGAGCCCCGCTGTGGGGTTCCACGGCACCCCAAGGAAGCAGAGCTTCTGCGCCTGGAAGGCAGTCCTGGGCCCCGGAGCCGAGCTGGCGGTGACTGAGTGGGGGCGCTGTGGGGACGCAGCTCGTTAGTCTGCAGTTCTGCCCTTAGGGACTCGGGTGCCCCTTTCGGTGACTTTGGGGCTCGGAGCTGCCAGACCTAAGTGTCAGAATCTCTGACTGCCCAAATCGGTGAAGAGGGGCTATGTTGTAAATAGGTAAAATGCCGCTGCCTGTTTGGGCGTCCGTAACAGGCTCCACAGGCAGTGTCCGGTGGCAGTGGGAGCCCGGCGGGGCCTCAGGCCTGGGCCTCCCATTTCTTCAGTGACGTAGGGCCGCTTTCCTCCCTGTCACTGCATGGTGACAGGTGAGCCTGCGGCCTCTGTAGGGTTATAGTCGTGCACAGCACGGGGGCCTCGGCACTTGCCTGGTGGGTCTCAGCCGTGGGCCACCGGCGGGCTCTTGCTCGGAGCCCATCAAGCACCCGGGCCGGGAGCAGGGCCACCAGCTCCGCCGCCCCGGCCTTGGTTCCCTGCGGCGTGTGCTCCGAGGAGCTGCCCCGGCCTTGGGCATGCGTGACCGTTTTGATACCTGCAGGGCTGAGCAGGCACAGGGCAGCTCGTCCTTGAGCTTCCCCTTCCAGTTCCTGGCCGCGGAGCTGGAGAACCCCAGGATCTGCAAGAAAGGGAGCCCAGGTGTGAGCCCCGCGGGAGTCGGGTGCGGGCAGAGGCGAGAGCAGCTCCCGTGGGGGCTCCTGCCGTGATGGGGGTATCTCCTGCCATTGATGGGGGGTCTCCTGCGGTTGATGGGGCTTTATGATTTCCGGCACGACATGGAGAAGCCCCAGGAAGATGCAAGCTAATGTGAGCAAAGGCTTCTCTGATCTGGAGAGAGCAGGACAGCTGGAGACAGCGTCACTGCAAGTACCTTGTTTTCTTAATGTAGCTTTCAGGTGTAGTTGCGGGATTAGGTATCGGGCACCCCCTCACACCCTCGGGCTGGGTTGTCTCTGGTCACAGCCTCAAGGTGGGCCGCCTCTCCTGCTCCCACACTCCCCGTGAGCACCACAGACTGAGTTACTAAAGGGTGGCCCTGAGGGTGTGGGCAGGGAGGGACTTCAGGGCTGAGATGAAACTCCAGAAACTCCAGAAGGGGCGGGTGACGGAGGCAGCAGGGATGCCATCTGTCAGTCAGGTGACCTGGAAGGCCTGCGAAGGGAATGTTTGAGCTGGGTGAGGCCTTGAGGTAAGAGGACCAGTATTTGGGGAAGTCCCTCATGTGCGTCCTGAGGGTATTTGGGGAGCGTTTCCTCACACGTGGGACAGGGAGGTTGATAGGACCTGTAGTCAGAAAGGGGTGGGTTCCTGGGCCACAGCAACAATGTCCAGTGTCAAGAATACTGGGTGTTAGGTCATCGGGGAACTAGATACCCCTTGCATCACCACACTAACATAGTTCCCTCAGCAGGGCTTCCTGTTGCCCTCAGAGATGTTTCACACACGTCGTCAAGCAAACCAAGAGGGTCCTTGACATGACTGAGCAGGAGGGGGCACCAGAACCCAGCCTTCTTGGGCCCCTGCAGTAGCCTGGAAAGTGGATGCAGGTCTGTGAGGCTACTACATTCAGGGCATCAGGCTGGGCTCCAGACTGCCACTGCTGCCCTCAGCACCCCTGTGAGAGGTGTCTCCTCTGCCTGTCCCATGTCCAGCCTTCTCTCCGCTGCCATGTCGCAGCTCACAGGGCTCCCAGTCTCCTGCTGAGCCATGGACTCAGCCCGTCACCTCTCACCACATCCCCAGCACACACACAGACTGTTCCCAGCACACTGAGTCCCTGTGTCGTTTCTGGTGGCCAGCATGCATTTCCACCTGTCAGTGACACGTGGTGCTCAGCCCATAGGCCTGGTTTCCAGGCTGCACCTCACTGACCTCCCTTCCGAACACCCTCTGCAAGACTGACTTGAGATGCATTTATTGAATCAGTAAATTCATGTACCGTTTAGTTGTTTATTTTTTAACCATGTCTGTCACTCTTTCCCCTTAAATTTCTTATTAAATATGAAAGTTCGTGGGCCTCCCTGGTGGCCTAGGAGTTGAGTCTCTGCTAGCCCCACTACAGTGTGAGTTCAACCCCCAGCCAGGGAGGGGACCCACATAAGGCACAGCAGACCACCTTGTGTCGCCTGCTGCTCCCCTTAGCAGTGTATTTCAGTAGGTAACGCTTGTTCTGCACCCCGCTCTGTCTCTGGTGGATCCTCTCATCCCTGCACCTCTAGCCTGCACCCCACTTCTATGCATAAATAAATAAATCTTTAAAAATAAATATGAAAGTTTGCAATAATGTTTGTCTTTAGGATTTCTCTTTAACCTGAGTTTTGTTTTAAATAATAAATGTGTTGATTGACCCTTCTTTTAGCAACAAGTAACTTGCCACGATAAAACGGCTGTGCTGTTATTTATGGATGAGGAAATGATCAGCTATGATATACTGAAAGTAGAACTGTAAAAGAAAAGTAAATGGTTTATGGCACTTGGTACTTGTATTTTGCATCGTGTACCTGATGGGTGGTGATTCACTTTTACCCTTTTGCAGCCTGAATAAGGGGTGCATCCACTAATAAAAGGAAGGCACAGAACAAGAAAGTAGATGAGAAAACGTGAAGTGGATTCATTTAGGCAAGGGGTTTGGCAGGCGCTGGTCAGGTTCATTTCCCCAGGACTCGGGAACCTGAGACTGTTCACACTCTGGCCTTTTAAGAAATAGAAACAGAAGTTTAACTCTTTCATCATAGCAACTAGCACTTCAGTAACTAAAAGAAGCTGCCGGAGGAATCCCAGGACCCCCTTGCCATGCCACCCCGTAGTCCACACGAGCAGTGTCCATGTTAGTCCACTGTGCCCAGTCACCATCCCCCCACGCTTGTTCTGTGCTGCTGAGGTCTCTGGGAGGGTGTTCTCAGAACAAATCTCTTCATCCAGGGCAACATTTTTCAGAGGCGACACTGAGGGGTGGTGACGGTGCCAAATCACCAGAGGACGATCGAGCTGGCCCTATTCAGTTGCAGAAACGGGTGAGGTGAGCGCTCTGCGCGGACTCTCCAGGGACGTCTCCGAGTCGAACTAAACTTCACTCCCCCTCTGGAGGCAGCAGGTGCCAAAGGCAACCAGAGCTGGAGGGAAGCGGCCTGACATGCCGCTTCAGGGCACTAAAACGGCCTCCCCTCTTCCACCGGCCTCAGGTGCTCACAATCCCCAGTAGGCCCGCCCTTCTGGCTCCCACCTCCCGTCATCAAGTTAGTCCTCAGTCGTGAGGTTTGATCACCAGGGAACTAGACGACCCCCGAAGGCTGGTGACGGCTGGCGCAAAGGCTCCTGGGAAGCGTAGTCTCCCGGGTCGGGGGCAGTTGCCGCAGGGAGTTCCGGGTAGGGCTTCCGCGTGCCCACTGCGCAGGCGCGGTCCCGCGGGCTCCACCCCCGCCGGGTTCCGCCTCTCCTCGGTCTCCGCATGTGGTCGGTGTCTTCGAGGTGAGTTGGGAGCGGTGGGAGGGCGCCAGCCCGGGGCGCCGGGAAACTGGAGGAACGAGAGGGAGAGGAGGTGAGGCACCTAGTGCGGGTGTGGGGGTGAGGGGGGTTCTGGGGCACGTGGCGTTGAAGGGGCGTTTGGTCGGCGGGGTAGTGGGTGGGGAGCCGTGATTATACTTAGGAAGGCGAAGCAGAGGATGAACCCGGGTCCCCGGGCAAGTGGGAGTCGAGACGCCCTTGGATGTGGGCTGCTGCGCCTCGAGGGGGCGGCCATTGGACTGTTGGGCCCAGTCCGGGCAGTCCCTTGCCTCCTCTGCAGAGGACGGCATTGCCAGGAAGAGATTGTACAGAGCTTCCAGAGCAGGTTGCTGGAGCCCATTTGAGAGGCGGAGTACCCCAGGAATCCAGGCGGGCGGGGCCAGTCTGCCTGTGGGTTCCTGCTCCTCGGGAAGCGTCCCCGCAGGTGGTGTGCCCAGACGTTCATAATCACCAGTGAGAAGCCCGATTCCAGCCTATGTGTGTGCGCTTAGTCAAATGTGGCAGTTGGTTTGCGGGGTTGCGTGGAGTCTCTTCAGATGAGACTCCTGGATTTGCGCAGTTGACATTAGACCAAGATACTAGAGCCCCTCCGCCCTCGGAGGGTTCTCTGGCTCTGGGGGAGGGTCGTTTCCACATGGCCCATTTCTAGCAGTACATTTGTTACATACAGTTCTTGAATCAACACTGTCACCTCCTTATTCCCCACATCCCACACTTTACAGTACGATTCCTTGCTGGTTATTTTGCTTTTCTTGGAAGTGGAGTAATTTATGCCATCTAACCATAGAGCCTCATGGAGTAGGTTCCCTGGCGGGAATGCCTTGAGGTACGGCAGGCAACGTGTGGTTGGGGATGTGCTGGTGCCCTTGTCTGGAAGATGGAGAACAACCTGACCTAACTACTGACCCGGACTCACCCTCCCCCTGGGCGGTGCCTTCTAGAGCCCACAGTCCCCTAGAGCCAGGTCTCCGTTGATCTTGGCATCAGCACCAACAGCTTCAGCCCTGCCGACCCCAGGCCTAGGGCACAGCTGTGGCCTCTCTTGCTTAGCGCGGGTCGGAGATGAGCATCCCACTCCAGGTGGCAGGCCCAGGAATCCCCCGGAACCCCCAAGTGCTGCGCCTGCCCACAGTTGTCAGCACTTGGAATTCCCCGTGGCGCTCTGCTGGGTGGAGGGAGGGTCCAGAACAAAGTGGACTTGGGTTCAGGGGCGTCATGAAGTGGGGAGCCTGTTGTGTCCTTGCCATGTGGATGCCTGCTGACGTCTGGGGGTCCCGCTGTGGGGCTCCACAGCATCCCAAGGAAGCAGAGCTTCTATGACTGGAAGGCAGTCCCGGGCCCAGATGGGACCAGCAGGCAACTGGATGTGTTAAGGGGAAGGGTGTGCTAAAGGAACGCTGCAGTTTTGTGGGCTCCACTCTCTGCACCAGCTTTCTGGATTCCATCCCCTAGTCCGGTGATTGGAAAACAGCTCCCAGCAGCACCAAGGAGAGAACTGTGAGGACCCAAGGGCGGAGCCAAGCAGGCATTCTGGGGCTTTGGAGGATAAATAGAGAGCCGTTTTCCAACTGTAGCTCTGGAGAGGTAACAGCTCTCTCTGGAAAAATTGCTCTCAGACGGTGCAGACCCAGATGGTGCGGCTGGGGGCTAGCCATAGTTTGTGAGTGGAGTTCCAAGTAGTCAGCTGGTAAGATACTCCAGCTACTTTATATCCCTCAGTCTTTCCCTGGGTTGTTTCCTTTTCCTTTCCCCTTTTGTGTGTGTCTGCAGAAAGTTAAATTTTAAGTGCTGGGTGAGGACCCACAGACAGGCAGCCCAGTTTCACTCTGGGCTACCCTGTAACAGGTGGAGGGGCGCAGTTCGCTAGTCTGGTGCTGTCCTCATGGACCAAGGTGCTCCTTTCAGTGACCAAAGGCCTCAAGCACCCGGACCAGGAGTGGCCTGCCCCGCCTAGCCAGAGCGGGGCCACCTGCACCCACGGCCTTTGTTCAGCCTGGCGTCCCTGCGGCGTGTGCTAATAAGATATCCTTATTCTTTTGGGATGTGTGTTGACTGTGTTTCCTGTAAATGTGACTTTGATTTACTGAGTGGAGTTTTCTGTCTCCCTTTTGGGTGGTCCCTCACTGCTGCAGGAATGGCCTGGGGTAGTAATTTTAACTCCTTGGATGGGAAAGATCCCTGAAGAGCCTCTGTGCTTACAGGCATGGGAACGAGACCCGCTCCCTTTGAACAACACAAGTGACGGAGGAAACAACGCTGGTGTTAGGTGTGTGTCAGCTTCTGAACCTTTGCACTGGCTATTCCTTCCTCGGAATGGCTCTGCAGCAGGAATGCCACGAGGTCCTGAGCTAGAGAGAGAGGGGTGTCCTGGGAGGAATGTTTGCTACAGGACTCCTGCCAACCACACTCCGCACTGCTCTTGGAGAGGCCCTTCCCAGGCCAGCGCTGCCGTTTGGCTCCTCCCCTCTGCCTGGGCATCTCACTGGCCCTTTGGCTCAGTATATCCTTATTTGACCTCTGATCTCAATTGTTGACCCCTCTGTGATTTATCTGGGTTCTCCTGACCACCGAAGGGCCCTCAGGGCAGCAGGGGTGTGTGGGCAGGACCAGAGGAGGCAGTGGGTGCAGTGAGGGTGGTGAGCAGGTTCTGAACTGAGTGATTTTTTAAAAAAGATTTATTTATGCATACAAGATCTGAGACACCAGAGGTGTGGGGTGAGAGGATTCACCAGAGACAGAGTGGGGAACAGAACAGGCAGATCCACTGAAATCCACTGCTGAAGGGAGCAGCAGGCAAGACAGGCAGGGTCTGCTGCACCCTGTGGGGATTGAACTCATGTTGCAGTGGCTAGTTGTAGCTTGGTAGTGCTGAGACTTAACCCCTGTGCCACCAGGGAGGCCCGGAAGTGAGTGATTTCAGTGTCTTGCCCAGGAAGTGGGTAGCAGGTGAGCTGCATTTTGGGTGGTGCACTGGGGCACGTGTGATTTCCAGAAGTGCTTGGCCTATAGAATCCTGATTCCTCAGAATCAGCTTGGGGGCTGAGGGTGAGACATCCCTGGAACCTAACCAAACGGCCTTTGTGCCCTGGGGGGGGGGGTGGCCAGCTCCTTCAGCCCCATCCCCGCTGTTGCCTCACCTAATTTCACCATCCCTTTCACTGATGAAGGGCTTCACCTCAGCTGCCTATTAGCCTCTGTGAGCGCAGGCAGATCCTTGCTTGCCTTCCTTCCGCATGCTTCGTGCAGAGGGGTTCTCTGAAGGGCTCACCAGGAGGGTTGGGGGGGCCCCACCTGCTTCTCTTCAATAAATTTCAGCCTTACAGCTTTAGGTCCTTATCTGTAACTGTATTGGGACCAGGTGGTGGATAACATCGCACCCCGACATATTAAGAGGCTTCGGAGGACAGTGTGGGCTCGGTCAAAAGCACGTGCACACACATAGCCACATCTGACATTTAATTCATAGCCTGTCAGTCCAATATGACCCCACGAGGGACATCACTAGCGTCACAGCGCCCAGGTCCTGCGCTGTGACCCGCGAGCTCTCCACCTGCTGTCTTCACAGAGGGAGGCAATGAGCTGAGGCTCTGAAACCGATGCCCCTCGCCGATGGGGGCTGAGAAAGAAAGACGCAGGGGTGGGGGTGGAGGGGCGGCTGTCACCTCTGAGGCCCCCCTGCCCACTCTGGCAGTGGAGCTGGAGGACTCCGAGGTGTCTGCGGGGAGAGGAGCCCGGGCGTGAGCCCGGCAGGGGTCAGGTGGGCAAAGGTGACCCCGTGGGCTGGACTCTCACGGGAGCGGGACGTGGGGAGGGCAAAAAGGGGCAAGTCCTTCCACTTCAACGGGCCTCATCACTCATCAGTCTTTCATCTGGTCTCTGAGGGCAGCTCCCCTGCTTTCGGAGCTTCGCTCTTCACCGCTCTTAGTTCAGCGTCCAAGGAGCAGCCAAGAGTGAGTCGGAAACTCGCTTTCTTGGCTAAGAAAAATCCCCCGTTACAATCCACCATGGATAACCCCCCTCCCCCATCACTGCTGGAGGCGGGACCGGGCAGGTCACCCGCGAGGCACAAAGCATCCCTGCCGCGGGCCGGGCGGCGCGGAGGCTTGTGGGAAATGTAGTCAGGACCACCCGGCGGCTCCCATTAGAACTCGGGGGGCGCCTCCAGCTCCCCTCTGCGCAGGCGCGGCCCCGCCCCCGCTGGTGCCGCCATCTTTCGGCGCTGCTTCTATGGGCCGCCGCTTGGGCTCCGCGGGGTCTGTCTGGAGGTGTGTGTAGGGGCGGTGGAGGGAGCCGCCCCCGGCGCCCGGATCGGGCAGGAGTGGGCGGGAAGGCGTGTGAGGGGCCCGGCGCGGATGTGTGGCTTGGCCCGGCGCGTCAGGGAGACCGCGGGGCAGGCCGGGGAAGGCCAGCCCTTGTGTGCGTGTAGTGATGAACTTCCTCAGAAGGCGGTGTGGGCTGACACGAGGTCTGGACGCGCTCACTGGAGCTTCTGAAGCCGCGCGGTGGAGTCGAAGGCCGAGGTCCAAGAAGGCAGGAGGCTGCGAGGCGGGGTGGGTCTGCGGAGAGCGAGGTGCGGGAGGGCGCCTGCAGCCGGGTCTGCTCTGCCAGCAAGCGCCCCGGGCCAGGGGGTCGACACGCCTGGCTGCAGGTCCGGCGCCTGGAGGTTCAGCGCGTTCCTAACCGGAGCGGTTGCAGGATTCCTACGGAAGTCGTTGGGCAGTGTGCGTGGACCTGCTCTTGCCCTGTGGCACTTGTATTTATGGGATTTGGGGAGCCTCTTCAGTAGGTGAAGTGAGGACCCCGCGTGCATGGTGCCGCCGCCGCACACCCCTGCTTTCCTCTTTAAAAGGTTGTGCAAGACCTGTGTCCAGGCACCTTGAGTTCTAGGTGCGGCATTTGGTGTCTGCTTTCTTTGGGCAGGCAGCTGTTGTGATGTTGAAAGCGGGCAGTTCGACTTGGAGAACATCTCTGTGGCCTGAAGCCTCTAGCTAGTGCTTCAGAGCAAACGCAGAGTCGGGCAAGAGGCCCTCGCTTGGCATTGTCAAGCAACTGTTGAGCATCTGCCCAGTGGGAACATGATTTGGTGATACCATCGCCTCCACAAGCTGCCAACGACTTTGGCATAGTGGAAGTTTGGCCCAACCCTCGGGAGACTTGAGCTGGGCTAAGAGCTGTAGGCAAAGAGCAGGGAAAGGCTCTGTGGGCGGGGCCTTGCGGGGGCGGGGCCTTGCGGGGGCGGGGCCTGGTTTGACAAGTAACCTGTCACCGCTGAGAGCCTGTAGCCTTCGTCTTCCTTGCTTCTCCCTCGTGTTTCCAGAACCTGACCGCTCCAAACTATCCCTAGTTTGGTATTAATTCATGTTCTTCTGTGAATTATCTTCGTGGTGGTTTGGGGTGGCTTTGTCCAGGTATTTCTGCTTTATAAAAAAGAAAAAACAACAACAAAACCAAACCACTGTGATTTGAGGCCTTAGGTGACTTGTCAGGATCACAGGGTTTGTGTGCCTGACATATTTGTTCTTGACATCATATTTTTCAAACATGCTTTAGAAGGCCTTTTTTAAAACATGCCTATCCTTTCGTCCCAAATTTTTCTGTTATGTGAATTCAAAGGTTTCGTGATAAAACTGTTCTCCACCTAAAGTAATAGTCGTGAAAATGATCACCTGAGTCTCTAAAACAGAGTTCGTTTCATTAACTTTGTCTTCTGGTATGTGGACAATTGCTTGATATAATTCCTATGGTCTCTTAGTTCCATCTAGTTAACACGTGCCTTTTTTTCAAAATTTCTACATGTGTTTGTGAACTTTCATTAATTGTGTTTGGAATATAATTCCCTCACATAATTTGTTACAAAGAAACCCCCAAGTTAGTAGGGGGGGTTTAAGATAACAAACATTTACAGACTTTAAAATAAAAACATGTCTATCTGTTTGTTTTCCTGAAAATTCTATGGTTAGCATTTTGCATCGGACTTGGTTGATTACTTCCTGTACTCCAGATCAGAAATGAGGCAGCAGTCATCAGCTGCCTTTTCTGAGGCTGACTGGTTTAAGATGACTTCATGGACTGTTCTCTTGGGTAAGCCTGTGCTTCTAATAGACCAGCCCCAGCTGTCTTCACAAGTTAAAGATGTACAAGTCAAACTCATTTGCCTCTCTCCTTCCTCCACTTCCAGAGTCTTGTGTGTGTTTCTGAGAGCAACAGGCAATGAAAAAAAATCTTTGGTGAGTTATAAACTTGGCTTTTTTTTCAGTTTGTTTTTTATGAGTTTTTTGAGGACTCATTTGTTAAATTGGAAAAGGGTGAAGTTCTGCTTCTGGAAATACACGTAGAAAGGGATGTGGCAAATAGAGGTAGACAGGTCATCTGTCAGTCAGGGTAAGCCCTCGTTGGAGGCTGCTCTTTCTGCTGCTGGAGCAGACAGGTTTGTTTCCTGATGAGCACAGATCCTTAGAGGCCAGCAGGCTACATTTTTTTTTTTAATAATATATATATTTTTTTATTTATTACAAACTTTATTTTTACATCATTTTGCACATTTTTTTTTCCATCTCGATTGTAATCCCCGCAGGTTTCCCATCACCAAATCACCCCTGTGCCACCACCATAGTCCCGTGCATTTCCCTCCCTTTCCGCCCCCCGTTTTTGATCCCATTCCCCACTCCACCCCCACAGAATGTCTCTGGTATATGGTTGTTCATTATTTTTGTTATTTTTCTCGCCTGGTCCATTATACTCCCAGCAGGCTACATTTTTATGGGACAGGAACACTTGGAGACACCAGCTGTGAAAGAACAGTGTCTGTCTTCGCGTGCAGTGTCTCTCACAGTCTGGAAATCAACATGCCAGTCATTTTGTGTTACTAATGATTAACGCTAAAGTAGAGTTCTTACTGTTGACTTCTAAAATACTGTTATCTCAGGCAATTTTGGGAAGTCCAGGGTTGGTACACGGAGCAGATGGGAGCCAGCTTGGAATGTCTGAGGCTTGGCTCAACCCCTGTTCTTGACCGTTCTCTCAGCTGATATGTGTAGTGTGCAGAAGACCTCAGCTACATTTTGGAGCAAATGTTTCCAGTGTGGTGCACCTTCACCTGCTCAGTGTTTCTTAAAGCACAGCTTCAGCCTAATACTTGAATCCACCTTGCTTTACAGGGACCTTCTGCGAGTCAGTAGCATGCTTCAGGATCTAGAAGTACTTCTCTCTCAGCTGCTGTCGCTGCCTGCCTGATGATTTCTTGTTTCCCCCCAAACCTGTGTGTCTCTGCTCCTGCGCTTAGAGCTCATCCTGGCGTCCAGATCTGGCCTCCACGGGCCCCCTGCACCTCTCCATGACTAAGTCACCCTCAGTGCTTTGCAGTCCCAACTGTTTCCCTTTAGGTTTTCTTTTTTTCCCTGTTTGAAGAACTGGGGTACAGGCCAGATGTGTGCGGGTGAGATGACTTGCCAGAGTGGGGAGCAGAACAAATGGAGCCACTGAAATCTAGTGTGGAGGAGAGCAGTGGGAGACAGGAGAGGTCTGCTGCGGCCTGTGAGGGTCACTCCCTGGCCGGGGATTGAAACCAGGCTGAAACGGAAACTCCCTGGACCACCAGCGAGGCTCCCCCTTCCAGCTTCTCCTCTGTAGGTGCACCTCCCTGTTCAGGGCTTCTCTGTAGCTGTCCACAAGGCACCTCAGCTCAACAAATGCAAAATGAAGCCTCCTCTCTCTCCTTACATACAGTGTTGCTTCCTGCTAGCTAGAGGTTCACACCACAAGAGTGGGGTTTCTCCTGAACGCCTCTCTTTCCCATAATTGGTCTAATGAAAGTTATGTTATTTTGTTGTTGTTGTTCTTGAATATCACATAATGTCTGCATTGGTGCTCACAGCAAATACAGTAACTTTCCCTTTTCCATTTGCATCATCGTTCTAGGCGGACCCGAAGGATGTGTGGTTTGCTCGGTGACGGGCTCTGTGCCGCTTAGTCTGTCCTGCTCCCCAATCAGATTTCACTGAAAACACTATTAAAAGTGTGTGTCAAGTGGTTAGTCAGACTCCCCGTGCACAGAAACTTCCATGGGGCAGCAGCGTCTGTCTCACTTTCACCCATCACACTTCGCCTGTTTTCTGTCTCAGGTTACAGGATCCCGCAGCTGGTCAGGCAGACAGCTTAGTAGTAAGTCCTGCCTTTCCCCCTTCTGGCACCAAATTAGTACCAAATTCTGTGTGTCTATTTTACAATTGGCCCCTGTTCTGTATTCTTGCTCTTCTGTTATCGCAGTGTTCGTGCTCATTCTCCGGCTTCTTCCATAGCCTTTCTTAGCCTACTTGGAGTGTACTGTTGAATGCACGTTCGCTCCTGTAACTACCTCGATTTAACTGCCCCTCATTATTCACCATGGATGGCTTAGGAGGTGTGTGTTTGCTCTGGGTGGAAATATGCAACGCACAGGAAATAGTACAATGCATGTGTACTTCAAACATGTAGGTTACTATAAAATACGGCCACATATGTTTTGATGGAATTAGGTTACATAAAATGCAGACTAACTTCATAATCAGTTCTCAGCATAACTTTCATGTCTGTCTCTCCTCACACCCAGGGGTACTTACTAGGACAGAGAGTGATGCTTGGGGTTCCTTTATCACATCAGCTGTTCTTCATGCCATCTGCCTTGAGTTCTGCTGTGCCTCATTCATGAAAACATGGTTCAGGAGCGTGACATCCTTGGGTCTTTAGAGAGTTACAGTCTGAGTGTACAGGGTGCCATTTTTCCCATTTTCACACAGCTCTTCTAGTATACTTCTCCAGTTCATACTCAGTGCCTCTAAAACCAGATTATTAGCTAGTTTAAGGTGCAGGGCTTTATTCATCTAAGTAACTAAGGCCATTTCTGATGTACAGCGTAAGGTGTAATAGTTCTTTTAGAAACTAATAAATTAATAGTGTATTTTTTCCATGATGTCTCTTTTCCAATATAGAATAAAAGGCATGCTGTGTTTTAAAAAATACACGGAAAAGAATCCTGTCCTTCTGACTCGGGTTGGTATGTTGAGTTGAGGAGATGGTGCTGTTACAGGAGATGGTGACCTTTGAGGACGTGGCCGTGAACTTCACCTGGGAGGAGTGGCAGACCCTGGACCACGCTCAGAGGACCCTCTACCGGGACGTGATGCTGGAGACCTACCGGAGCCTGGCGTCCCTGGGTGAGCCAAACGGCCCTGTCACTGCCGAGCACAAGCACTGTTTTCTTTATTGATGACTGTGCTACTGTTTACAAACTTAAAACTATTTGGGTTTATAATTCCAGGTCAGGAATCATGTGAGTTTTTAACTCTAATAAAAGGTTCTGATTGGCCTTCTGTATACAACTTTAAAACTCTGCTGTTGTTGCTCTTCAAATGGCATGATGCATACCCGTTATCCTCACCAACAGGGCATTGCGTGACCAAACCTGAGGTGATCATCAGGTTGGAGCAAGGAGCAGAGCTGTGGATGGTGGAAGGATGCCCGTGTGAGAGGCTCTCAGGTCAGTCAGTGCCTACGAGGCCTGAGTGGAAAGCCCAGCAGAAGTTCACCACCTTGAGCATTTTTACCAGTGTATTACCTTAGGTCCAAAGCCTGGGATGGCATGTATCAGATCGGTGAATTACAGTTTCCAAGCGTGCTTCTCACATGGAAATGCTCCCGTTTTAGTTGCTGTTCATCTCCTTATTCTTATCGAGAATCCAGTTTCTTCTGGCCTCCTCTTGAATGTCTGTTTGGTTAGTCTCATTCTGTGTATTCTCAGTTATCCTCTCCTCCATATTCATTGACGGTTTTCTTTTAGGCTTCTGTTCATTTATGTTTATATTTTCAACATATTGGGGAGTTTTAGACACTGAGCAGTTTGTAGTTGTGTTATAATAATAGAAGTCAAGTAAATGTTCTTTTTATAGCACTACTTTCTGTAGATTGAAAAATGAAAGAAAGAGACATGAAATAAATAAGATTCATAGAGAATATTTTATCAGGATAAGTGAGAAAAGTAGTATTCTAGGAGTGGTGCTTAAAAGGCACTTGTAGAAACAATAATATGTCACATGTTTGCATCAGTAGAGATCAAGCTTGAGAGGACCATTTTCCATTTGACATGTAACTTATTGGTGGATATATAGTTGGGAGCAGCGTAGCTCCCGCTTTTGGAGAGGCATATTAGGAGCTCATTAACTCAAACTGACAGGCTTAGAGGAGGTCACCCTAGAATTATTGAGAACCTGGGAAAAGAGGTACAAGTCTTGTGAACCATATCATCAGAAATTGTGACGCTGAGGAGTACACAGCAACTTTCAGATAGGTGCGCAGTGTGTGTTGCAGACACGAAACCCTTTGGATCAGTAAGAAGGTGCAGTGTGAAGTAGTCAACTGAGCTTCCTGTGTATGAATCCTAGACGCTGACAAGCATTTAATTTGGAGTATGCAGCTAGTGGCTTGTTTAGCCTGGAGAAGAGATTATGTCTTTAAAACAAAACAAAACAGTTGCTGGTATTTTCTTTATTCCCTCTGGAGATGTAAAATCTAACCAAACTAACCAATTTAGTTGTGAGATCCTTATTCCTAAGACCTATTGCTACATGGGTATTAGACAGATGGCCCACCCTTGAATCTCGTAACTAACAGATCCAGGAAAGTCATGCCATATTCCAAGCTTGATCACAAAAGCCAGCACAATTTCACAAGGTATTGGGGGGGGGGGGGAGAAGAGAAGATAGGCGAATAAATCGCATGTGCAAAGGTCCCAGGTGACATCTATAACTACAGCAGATCATTATTTTACCACAAATAATCTAGGAGGAAAAACCTGTTATGATTTGGCATTTCCATATCTGTTGTGCTTTACACTATTTTATTAGACAGGAATAATACCATAACATCAATACCATTTTGTTTCATCTGCTACTGGGCCAGAAAGAAACTTCTCTGCCTTTATACCAGCATTCCATGGAAATTGTTAGATATTTTTTGATGCATGTGGTTATTTTGATCTCACTTTAGATATCCAGACTGTGGCTGATGTGATTGAGACCAACCAGAAAAACCAGAGCAGACATTTGTGGCAAATTGAAGCCATCAACAACAAAACATCAACTAAAGAGAGAACTGACTCAGGAATAACATTTAATTTGAGCTCAATCCAGGTTTCAAGCCCAGTGACAAATTATGGAACCTATTTGGGAATACTACCTGAGGACTTGTCTGTAAATGAGAACTTACTTCTGCCTGGTGACCCTGATGTGACTCATGCTGGAGAGAAACCTGAGGGCCAGAACAAGACTGGAAGAACCCTCCATTATCCTGAGAGTCCTAGTTTTCATCACATGATTCAAACTCTGCAGCAGCCCTTTGAATTTATTGGACAAAAGAAAACTTTCACCAAGGAGGCGATGATATTTACACACAAGGGGGCTCTTGTAGGGAACACTACCTGTAAATACAAGGCATTTGAGAAAGTCTGTGATAAGTCAGTCCACACTGTACAAGAAACAACTAGTATTGGGGCTACTCAGTACAGATGGAACAAATGGGGTGAAACCTTCCCTGGGAAACCAGCACAGTTGAACCTTCATAGAGGTCTTTTCTTGGAGGAATACCATAAATCTAATCAAAGTGGAAATAATTTCAGTAAGAAATTACATCTTTCTCAGTTCCAGAGATCTCAGTTAGGAAAGAAAACTTTTGAATATAATGTTCTGGGCAAAACTTTCTATAAGAAATCTAATCTCAATAACCATAAAATAAGTGCCAGAGAGAAATCCTATAAATGTGTAGATTGTAGGAAAACTTTCTACTGCAAGTCAGACCTCACTGTGCATCAGAGAACACACACAGGAGAGAAACCTTATGAATGCAAAGAATGTAGGAAAAGTTTCTCACAGAAGTCAGCTCTAACACTACATCAGAGAATTCACACAGGAGAGAAACCCTATGAATGTAAAGAGTGTAGGAAAAGTTTCTCACAGAAGTCCGCACTCACTGTACATGAACGAACTCACACAGGTCATAAGCCCTACGAATGTAAAGAATGCAGAAAAACATTCTACAATAAATCAGGCCTTACAGTACATGAAAGAACTCACACAGGCGAGAAACCCTATGAATGTAAAGAATGTAAGAAACCTTTCACCCAGAAGTCATCCCTCACTATACATCAGCGAATTCACACAGGAGAGAAACCTTATGAGTGTAAAGAATGTAGGAAAACTTTCTACTACAAGTCTGCCCTTAGTTATCATCAAAGAACTCACACAGGAG